TTTTTATGTAAATTAACTCATTATAAATAGATCAACTAATTTAAGGCACAAAATTAAAAATATTTGTCATATGTTGTATGTGCAAAATGTAAAGAAACAAGCTATAAATCAGCTCATGCCAATTGAAATGACAAAATCTCATTTCATTTACATATGTAGTTTCAGGTGCAGTGTAATTACTAATAGCTATTGCTATTGAATTGCTTTTAACGATTAATTTTTAATTATTTTAATATCGTAAAAAAAATTTACGATATTAAGTGTTGCATAAAACAAATTTAATAAGAATTTTACTGACTTCGGTATTTTCTAATTTACAATGTTTGTTTTGAATAGATTTTGACATTTCTTTTCCAATTCTTCTAATATCGTAATCATTCTACGATACTAAGCCATTTGCAGAATTGCACAGAAAAATAATCACTATTTCTAACCTTCCAAATAATCTTGACCAAAATGAAGTTAACTTTTGTATGGGAAATCTGTAATTAAACAACTAGATTTATACTTTAACCTCGATGATTGTTTTAATCTACTGTTAATCTCACAATGTAAACGTAGTATATTATGTTGAGGCTAGTTGAGCCAGTGCACCTGAGCACTTTTACTCTCTATTAACTGCGAGGTTTCTTAAAAACTCCTCTTTGCCCCTTGACTAGGTTATTGTTTATCACTTCGACTAAGCAATAATTGATCTCAGATATACATACCTCCCCGAGGAGCCTGTAACCATTCTAAGATAATGTTCACAATTGTTCTATTGCATATTTGGTATTATATATACAACTATAAATTCTTAAATACAATTCAATAAATAAATAATTTTGATATAAATAACTAATCTACATACAGTATATTAACCTTTTTCTCATATTATATTATAATGAATTTATTTCCGATACTTATTTCTGCTTCCATGATATATATTTTTATTGTGGACTTTATGTTTATTTCCTATTAAATACCAATATTAATCAATTTAAGATCATTAAGAAACTTGATCTTAGTTTTTCAAAATGTAAACAAATAAAAGTTTATTAACGAATCGCTTCCATTTTTTTTTCAAAGTCTATACTTTTAGGGTTTAATGTCAATCAGTATAGATTCTTCTACTTTCTTTCTTCAAAGTTTCACGTTTCTTGAATAATTCAGCGAATAAATAATTTGCCCGGCTAATTTATTGAGCTTCTGAATATGAATATATTTATTTAAATTGATTTATTAGTAGATTGCTTAATAATTGGTGTTAACTTTTTGAAGCTAGAATTAGAATAGATTGCATAATTTTTTTATAAAATGTTTTTTTCTTACTAAATTAAAATTACGTAAAATCTTAACGATTAATGATATCAGAAAGGTCATTTTATTTAAAAAAACTAAAATTATTTGGCTCAGTGACGTACTTACTAAACTTTCTTCATTCATTTCTTTCTTTTCCCGTCTTCTTGTGGTGACTAGTTGTCATATGTTAGTCTTCCAATTAAAGTGCCATTCTTCTGGCATTAAACTTCTTCTTTACATAAATCTGCATATTTGGGTTAATAGATGCATTTGTTTTGAGATTAGAAATGATTTTAAAAAAGTCCAAAAAAATAACTTAAAAGGGGAAATTATTGACCAATCTGGAGCTATAAAAGAAAGTCAATTTGAGTTCCAGAATTTAGTATTCGCAAATCACAAATGGATTAAGAATGAATATAACGCGCGGATTTTCGGTGTTTTTAGTACTTGTATTATTTTACAATGTACGGGCGGAATCTTTCTTCAAGTCTTTGAACAAACGGATCGTTGATGGTTTTGTTGCAGAAAATGATGAAATGCCATATTTGGCAAGGTTGAAAACTGTGAGTGGAAGGAGTGGATTTGGAGCTGGTGCATTGATATCTTTGAAATGGGTTGTCACAGCAGCACATTGTCTTGTTAAATACGAACAAATACGCGTAATTATTGGTACTGGACATCGCATTAAAGAAACTGGTGCACAAGTGCGAACTGTGAATAAAACTGAATTTCTTATACACCCTGAATATCTGGGTACAATTGAAAATCACGATATAGGACTGATGCATATACTGGAACCTTTTATATTCGAACCGGGTAAAGTGCAGCCTATTGAATTATTTTCTGGCATGTATAAGGAATATGGTATAGGAAAAGTTTGTGGTTGGGGGCGTGACATAAATCAAAATCATCCTAGATATTTGCAATGTCTTTATACAAATGTAATCGGTTACAATAATTGTGCAGAATCTCTAAAACCTAACAGGAAATTAAAAAATACTATGATATGTTCAGTAAATCCTGGTTTGGTACAAGGTGCTTGTAAAGGTGATTCTGGTGGTCCATTAGTTCGATTGAATATCAAAAAGCATAGAACTAAGAATGGTACAAATTTATATGAAATAAAGGAGGAATTGGTAGGAATTGTTTCTTGGGTTGTTAAATCTTGCAGTAGTCCCAACACTCCATCAGTATATGTTAAAGTTCGAATTTATAAAGATTGGATTGAAAGTGAGATGAGATTAAATGAATTATTGGAGCAAGAACTAAATGCTCAAAATGAAACAACTACAGAAGCCATAACCGCAGAAGCTATAACCGCAGAAGCCATAAACGCAGAAGCCATAAACGCAGAAGCCATGAACACAATTAATAATGTAACTATTAGTTAATAAATAATATTTTTATAAAAATTATAAACTGTAAATGTCAATTTTTTACGCTTAATATGAAAAAAATTTGTGAAAAATGCATGAAAAATAACACCCAAGATTTTAGATCGAACTGTGTATTAATATTAGCTCTTTTCGGAATTATACCTTTGAGTGTTCCGCGTTCATATGAAGATACTATTATGGAAAAAATTGTAGTAGTATTGATTTAAACGATGGCAAAGTTGCATTGCACTTGGAAATTTTGATTTAATTTTGAAATTTTGATTGACTATATTTGATTTAATAATTTCGAAAACTTTCTATAGAGAATAAATATAACAAGGGAATATAAAAATTAAAACAATTAAAAAAAATATGTTTTTAGTTTAAATTTTGATGACAAACAGTATGTAGTTGTAAAATCAGTGTGGACATTAATAGTCTATGGTATGGAGATACAAAAATGGATGTCTAATTCTGTTACTCAAATAACATTTTATTTTGTTTGTTTTTTTTGTTTTGTTTATGTTTTTTAAGCTGGTACTTCTTTTTTATTTCATGATTTTCAGTGATTAATATTATTGTAGACAATACATTTTTCTTGTCCCTAATGCTAAAATGTTTCTATATAGATCATTTTCTTGATGTTTGAAAAGCAATCACAAACGTCAAAATAACTGTACAAATTTCTTCCGATAAAGAACCATAGAAACTCATAATGCAGAACCGATTTGTTGAGTTTTGAGCTTAAACCAAAGCGTTTCAAACGATCATGAACGGTTAAATTTGAAAAATTTAATCACTAAGTGAACTCATGAATTGTTTTTTGCCAATTTTGATCAAATAATGATTTTATTGTGTCCTTATCAGATGTAGAACACGTCACGTTATGTCCTTTGACTAGACTTCTACATCTGCAGAAATAAAATTACTGAATTGAAGGTATGTTAACCAGGTTAGACACGGGCTTTCCGTAAATATATATTCAATATATATACATATATATATTTTAACAGCTAATATGACAATATTAATGATTAAAAATAAATAATAAGTAATTAAATTAAATTAATAATTAAATTAATTAATTAATCATAAATAATGATTAAGCTTAAGTGCAAAATTAGCTGCCATAAAAAACTATTAACCCTCTATGAAAAAAACCAAAATTATTTTCCAAACATCGATTATATAGATTTATTTATCATTATGTTTTAGTATATAATATTTTGTTTTTTATGTTAGTTTTTTCAAAATATAAATTACCATGTATTTAACTAGGTCGTATATGAAAAGAACAGATTAGGGTTTAATGTAGAGCTCAATTTCGTTTTTGCATGGTAACTCCAATATATATTGTCTTTTTAGTGATCTAATTTCATCAGTCACGTCAATGAAATGGGTTGACGTAAATGGGTTGACGTAAATAAGTTTTCTCAAAATTATTTAAAAACATTTAAGATAATAATTTTATTTAAGTGCAAGTAATGTAAATCACTACAATCACTAAACCTCTATAGTTAGTCCTTTAATCTTAAATACCATGATCATACTATTTATCAATCACGTAAAAATGCATGTGGGTGCTATATGCTATGCACTAAGGAGACTTAAAATCGTACTACCTGATCGATGATAAATATTTATACGTTCACTTGCTCAAGTTATTTATTGATCGATATCATACGATCAAGACTTATATTTAATTCATGAGATAAAAATCAGAAAGTGCATAAAATCTTGTTAAAGTCATGTTGTTTGGTAGATTTTAGTCAAACTGCCTAATAGCCAGCGACTAATACGAGTAGTGACTAAAAATGCGTAAACAAATGCGTATTTTTTATTTGAATTTGTTTTTCGCAATAAAAGACAAATTTTACAGTGCAACTGCATCCTGCATTATGCCAATTCATATCGAAATCTATTGATCATTTTAATAAATGTCAAAATGTGACAACAAATTGCAACGGGCAAGAGGGTACCGATATTTGTGGTACCGAGTAACCTGGCAAGTCCGATGGAAGCCAAATATGCTATTTACTCATTCTTTGCCACTCACCAATTGACCAGCTTCATTATTTGTTAGACCGCAGTTTGGACACAGAAACTCCAATTCGAAAGATCGTTTTCGTTACCATTAATTTTTAATAGGTACATGCGAAATTGGTGATTTTTTATCGCATAAAAGTGTTTGATATGCGCGAAAAAGGGGGCGTGGCCCACGCATGCGTTGCGACTTGAATTCAAATTAAATTGGCCTCAGCACACAGCATATTTATCAACTGATTTGAATTTCAGTCAGTCAAAATGGATTGAAAAATCGTTCAGTCACTGAACTGCATTCATTATTTTGTTGGCTCTTTTATTTATTTTAATATTTTCTATTGATTTTGGTGATTTGGCTGTGATTGCATGCGCCACTCATAATCAATCTCACAATCACACTGAGATCAGTAAGTGGGCAGCACACCAGGTGGCTCAGTCTTGCTTGGAGTTGATTTGGAGCGTTTCATTGTTTGTTGAATTGCCAGAAAATTTTTAGATTTGTTAAGCAGATTTTAGTTCTATTTCTATGGTCCAAAAATTATTAAAAAATTAATTTTAATTAAATCATAAAAACTTTTTATAAACATCTGCGTTATTTGTAAACAGCTATAAAATTTTAATCCATAGCATTTGACTAACCGTCAATCAAATAAGACGGCATGCATTGAGTTCAAAATGTGGTTTAATTCCTTTTATTTCAGAGAATTGATAAGTGAATGTAAATAATTAGAGTAAGTATACTGTGCAACAAACCAGTTGATCTACAGTATCACTCTCTCAAATCGTGGAACAAACCAGTTAGACTCTAGCTGGAATAAATCAATTAGTCTCTGGTTAAAGTCTGGATGAAACATAGTAGAATCACTGTCTTAAGCTGTAAAACATATCAGTCTAAACTGTGGTTTAAGTCTATATAAAATGTGATACCGTCACTATCCTAAACTGTGGAACAAACCAGTTAATCTCTAATTAAAGTCTGGATGGAATGTGAAACAAACCAGTTAGTGTCTGGTAAAATCTGGATGAAATATGATAACGTCACAATCCCAAACTATGGAACAAATCAGTTAGTGTCTGGTTAAAGTCAATATGAAATGTAACAGTACCAGTATCTCGAGCTATGAAGCAAACCATTTAGCCTTAAACTCTGGTTTGGATGAAATATGATAGTATCATTATCCCACACTGTGGAACAAACCACTTAATCTCTGCATAAAGTGTGTATGGAACGTAATAATGACGCTAGCTCAACCTGTTTAACAGAGTTTTCCATTCTGTTATTTTGAAAGTACACGGTATAAAACAAACTTTATGAAAATTTCAAAAAAATTTGTTTTAATATATTGTGATATATGACATCATTCAAAAGTTGTTCATCATACTTCTGATAGTACTGGATCTGTTAGGTGACATATCAGAAAACATTTTAGTGCCTATCTGAAAATAACTTCGCCATAATTTGAGAGTTGTTCGTTTTTAACGTGACAAGAATTTGAGGATTGTCCATATAAACGCGATCCTTTCCTGACACCTTAAAAAAAGATCAGTGGTAAGATAATTTGCAACACACCAGATAATTTGGCAGGCCCCACCATCTTGTTAAAAAATTATATCCCTCACATCTGTGTCTTTAATTTCCAATTTTCTGCTAAAAAATCGAAATCATGTGGCTGCGTACACGGAATTGACTATCATTTTCAAAAAAAGAAAAGAGCACCTAAAAGAGTCAGACCAAGTTCCACACCACACAACGCATTCTTCTGAACGCAACGGACCTGCAATAGTTACTTGTGGTTTTTTAAAACTCTAAATGTAAAAAATTTGTTTGTTGGCATAGTCGATTATCGAAACCATCGTGCAAAAAATGTTGTTCGTTTACCCATAGTGCCTATGTACTATAAATTCCCTGTGAAATGATAAACCCTAAGCTAACACATAATGTTTCTATTCTATTTGATGTATGCCTCTAAAGCAGTACTGCCAAATCAGAATAATGCATTGATAACCCTATATTTTGGGAGATAATAGGTGTTTTGAGAACTTCAAGCCTTTTTGAAGTTCTTTAATTAAAACCGAATAAATTGAAAAGACCGGCGCAAATGAGGTTTGAGATGCAACTGAACTTTATTATTTTAAAGCAACATTTTACAAGCAAACACGGTTGCCACTTATGGTACTTTAGTACCAAAATTGGTACTTTTTTTTTCGTTTGGTACTCATGTTTAAAAAAATGGTACATTTTTGACGACCCAACTTTATTGTGGATATTTCCAATTAATTTTTTTTATAAATGCAACTTTGCACTATTTTATTTTTTGTTCATTTATAACACTATGAAAAACACAGAACGAGAAAACAAAAAGGTCCAAAAAAATTTTGTACCTTTTTTTACAGAAATGGTACCTTTTTAAACCAATTTTGGTACAGAAAAAAATTTTCAAGTGGCAACCGTGCAAGCAAATTAAAATATATCAGGGTTGCCAAGCAACTATTATGATTTGTCTAGACAATAGGTTTT